TGAATGTAAAGCTAATGTTCTCCCATGTAAACTATCACATAATTCACAACAAAACATTAAAAAAAATTTTTTTTTAACTTGTATATGATATATCTTTCAATGCGTTCCACATCTATTGGAGTGGAATGGGATCTATTCTAATTGGATGGCCAGGTAGCTATCTTCTAAATTGCCTGGCATAAATAAATAAGCATTATTGCTGGCTCATTCCACATCCTATTCTGACTTGAATTTCTAGAAGCAGGCTGTTGATATACAGCTATAACCATTTTTTAATTATTGTCAGCAAGATTCTACCTGCATATGATATTAGTGATACTGTTCCACAATTTCTGCATTACAATGGGTCACCTCTGTTTGGAATGAAGAGCACTTATAGCACTCCATCAGTTTGTTAAAACATTTCAGTTTCTATCCCAATTCCCGTAGTCTTGTTATTTGTCAATATCTTCAGTGCAGCTTGGAAGTCTTTCTTCAATAACATAGGCTCTTCTTGATCATATGCGCCCTCTTGAAATGGCTGAACACTGACCAATTCTTTTTGGTGCAATGATTCTATGTATTCCACCTTCTGATGCTTCCGGCTTCATTAAATATTTTGTCTACAAAATCTTTCAGTGTTTCAAGGCCAGGCTTGATTTATTCCTTTAGTTTTTTGGTTTGAGAAATGTTGAGCATGTTCTTCTTTTTGATTTTCTAACTCCAGATCTTTGCATATTTCATTATAATACTCAACTTTGTCTTCTGAAGCTGTTAAAATATTTTCTTCTTTTACTTCGTTTCTTCCAGTTACACTAGCTTCTCAATCCTCAAAAGCAAGTTTCACAGTCCCATCTGACATCCACTTTAGTGTTTTCTTATTTTCCTGTCTTTTTAAATGATATTTTGCTTTTTTCCTGTATGATGCTCTTGATGTCATCTCAAAACTCCTCTGGTCATTAGCATCCAATGCATCAAGTATGTTCTTGAGATGGCATCTAAATTTATGTAGGATATACTTAAATTTAAGGAACTCTGGTAGCATAGAGGTAACGAATTAAGGTAACTCTGGTAACGAATCGGGCTGCGAACCACAAGGTCAGCAGTTTGAAACTACCAGCTGTTCTGCAGAAGAAAGATGAGGCTTTCTGCTCCCGTAAAGATTTACAGCCACAGAAACCCTGTGCAGGGTCGCTATGAGTCGGAACCGACTCCATGGCACATAACAATATATTTAAAGTTATATTTGGGCTATCATGGAATTGACTTTATTTTCTTCAGCTTCAACCTAAACTTGAATATGAGCAATTGATCGTCTGTTCTACAGTCAGGTCCTGGCATTGTTCTGGCTGATGGTATTGAGAATCTCCAATGTTTCTTCCCAGTAATATAGTTGATTTGATTCCTGTTTATTCCATGTATACAGCTGACATCGCTGTTGTTGAGAAGATAAAGTATTTGCAATGAATAAGTTGTTGGTCTTAGAAAAGTCTAACAAATTACCTCCAACATCATTTCTATCATCAAGGCCATATTTTCCAACTACTAATACCTCCTCTTTGCATTTTAATTACTAGTAATTATTAATGCATCTTGATTGCATACTTCAATTTCAGACTAAAAAAGTTGGTAGAATTCTTCATTTTCATCATCACTGGTTTTAACAGTTAGTGTGCAAATTTGAATAATAATGGTATTAACTCATCTTCCTTGTGGGTGTATGGACATCATCCTACCACAGACAGCATTGTACTTTATGATCGATCTTGAAATGTTTTTTGAACAAAAAAGGATGCAATTCTCTTCAATTTGACATTCTAGGCATAGTAAAACCATATGATTGTCTGATTCAAACTGGCCAATACTAGTCCATTTCAATTCACTAATGTCTAGGATGATATTGATCTTTATCTGCTCCAAATTTCCTAGATTCATACTTCATAATCCATATTCTAATAATTAATTAATTGTTTGAAGTTGTTTCTCCTCATTTTGAGTTGTGCCCCATCAGTAAATAAAGGCACTGAAAGCTTTGCTTCATCCATATCATTAAAGTCAGCACTACTTTGAGGAGGCAGCTCTTCCTCAGTCATATTTTCAGTGACTTCAAACTGAGAAGCTCATCTTCTAGGACTATATCAAACAATGTCCCATGTAATCATCATATGGTTTTCAGTGGTTCAAACCCACCAGTTTCTCCTAGAAACCCTACACAGGGTTGCTATGAATTGGAACTGACTCCACGACACTTAACAACAACAACAACAACCTTTCAAAATTGATTTGTCTCTTCTTGTTCCTAGTCTGTCTTAGTCTGAGAGCTCCTTTGAATCCTGTCCACCATGGGTGACCATGCTGGTATTTAAAATACCAGTGGCATGGCTGCCAGCATCACAGTAATACGTAAGCCACCACAGTATGAGAAACTGACATCGGAGTGGTAGACCTTTACATATAAGCAGGTATAAAAGGTAAAATATTAAAGAAAATCTGAAAGCCAAACAAAAGCAAATGCTGCTTTTAAAATAATAAATAATAACAGCTAACATGGTAATACATAAGGCACATTTATTAGCACTGAGTATAAACTTCTATATATTAGAAAATGATTGATTGATGCATGTTAAGGCTGAGTTAATAAACTCAAACCATTCACAGCAGTGCTGCCACATACTAAGGACTATATATACAATCATAGCTATTATTGTCTTCTTTAGTATAATGCAAAGCTCCATGAAGCAGGAATTTGTTTCTGATTTGTTCATATGTGCATCTCAAACTCTTAGAGGAACACCTGACCATAAAAGACACTCAGCCATACCTGGTGAATGAATGAATGGAAGAATAAAGCAAAATTTTTAACTCCAAAAATGTATGGTCTTCAATAGTGGAAGCACAATGTTCTGTTTAAAATAGTCCAATAAAACTGTTTGACTATATAATGTTTTAGAAATAACAGAGGGGAAGCAATTTATTTTCTACTCTGGAATAAGACATATCTTCTAACTAATTATTTTCATAAACAGTAATAAACAACTCTTGTTTGTGATGTATCAAAACACTAACGAACTTACTAATGATAAAAATCAACAGGACATATATACCAAATTGCTTTTGGTATCAGTCATATCACAATTCATTTTCATCACTATGACACTGCAGATTAGATGTTGGGTAGCTAACTTTAAGGTTGGCAGTTCAACCCCACAAGCTGCTCCATGTAGGAAAGGTTAGGTTGTCTGCTCTCGTAAAGATTTATAGTCTCAGAAATCCTATATAGGTTCACTATGATTAGGAAGTGACATGATTACAGTGGGTTTGGTTTTATTTTATACATAACTATAAAAATATCTTGTAACTCTGAAATAAAATACCTTTAATTATTCTTACCTGAAGGAACATAGAATGAATCCCCAGTAGTGATTAAATAAGGTGTTTCATGTAAGGTACATAAAAGGTCACCAAACTCAACATAAAATACCTGGAAAATTAAAAAACAAAATCTCATTTCAAATAAAATTACCACTATATCAACTACATTTAAAGGAACCTTATAGGAAGTATGGTAACTGCTATAAAGATGACCACAACTCTAATCCAAAGAACCTGTAAATATGTTACATTGTAAAGTTGAAGGAAACCCTGAAATGGTGAGATTATCTTGGAATGTTCAGGTGAGTCAAACCTAATCACATGAGTCCTTAAAAATAGAGAACTTCTGTCCTCACTAGAAGTAGAGAAGCAATGAGGCAAAGGGAGAAGTCAGAGAAATCTGAAGCATGTGAAGGACTCATAGTTTTATTGGAATTGAAGTGAGTCATGAGTCAAGTAATGTAGACTACTTTAGCTGAGGAAAAGACCCTGGCCAACAGCCATCTAGGAAATAGGTACTTCAGTCCCGAACCACAAAGAACTGAATTCTTACAATTAGCTTTGTTGTTATGTGCCTTGGAGTCGCTTCCGACTCATAGTGACCCTGTACAGGGTTTCCAAGGCTATAAATCTTCACGGGAGCCGAAAACCTCAACGTTCTCCCGCGGAACAGCTGGTAGTTTCAAACTGCTGACCCTGAGGTTAGCAGCCCAATTCGTAACCACTACACTATCAGAGCTCCTTAGCTTAGAAGTGGGTTAATTCCAAGAGACACCAAGAAAGAATAAAGCCTAGCTGATACCTTGCTTTGGAACTTGTGAATTCTAAGCACACTTCTACCCTACAGAACTGAGAGATAATAAATGGTTGATTATTTTTAAGTCACTACATTTATTTGCTAGGGCAGCAACAGAAAATTAATGTAGGAAGAAATTTCTTTTATTATTTACTGGCTTATGAGAATTCTATATTATTTACTGGCTTATGAGAATTCATATGCGTGTGTATAAGAATTTTCAATGTTATATATTTTGCTTAAATGTTTATACTAAACACTTTCTAAAATAAAGCAACTTTTCAAATAATATACTTAATAACTTCATACATTCAATTTCCCCTAATTTAAATTATCTCTTTAAGATTAATTTCTAGAAATGAGATTTACATAGTATGAATACTTTTCGAATAACCTCTACTAAACTCAGTATAAATGCATACTATCTTTAAAACAAATTCCTTTGGAAATCAGCTAGGTCAAACACGTAAAAGAACTTTACTGTCAAAATTTCCTAAACTAAAGGAATTAGATTAATGGGTACTGATATACAGCAAGAAGCCATGGTGATGGAGTAAGTGATGGGAGACTGAACACAAAGTTGGCAGTTCAAACCAACCAGCCATTCAGAGGAAGAAAGATGAGGCTTGTATGCTCCCATAGACAGTCTTGGAAACCTTATGGTAGTGTGCCGTGGAGTCAGTTTGACTCATAGCGATATTGCATAGGGTTTCCAAGGCTATACATATTTACAGGAGCAGAACGCCTCATCTTTCTCCTGTGGCGCTGCTGGTAGTTTCCAACTGCTGACCTTGAAGTTAGCAGCCCAACTCTAACCATTATGCTACCAGAGCTCCTTTGGAAACCCTATGGAGCAGTTTAACTCTGCCCTACAGGGTCACTATGAGGTAGAATCCACTTGACAGCAGTAAGGTCTTGTTTTTTTTTATTTTTAGTATTTGATAATGCTTATCTTTAATTTTGGACTTCTGGTGTGGCACTGTGGGTTAATATGCTAGACTGCAAAGTCGGACTGAACTGCCAGGTAGGCGGTTCAAGCTCACCAGCTGCTCAAGGGTGGCTCACACCAACATTAACAACCAATAACCAGCATATAACAACAACAACAAAATCTTTACTTTTAAATATACTTGTTATTATACAGGGACACTCTTTAGTTATTTAAAAGTGCTGTTTTTAATCTTTTAATAATACCTGGAGACGTTAACATTTTGTGCTATAAGATACAACTGTCATTTCGACTAAGTCCGTTAGACCTATGCACAACAAAAGGAAACACTGTCCAGTCTTGTACTATCCTCAAATGTGTTCCTATATTTGAGCCCATTGTTGTAGACATTCTGTCAATCCATCTTGTTGAGGGGTCTTCTTCTTTTTCAACAACCCTCAACTTTACCAAGCATCATGTCCTGCTGCAGGGACTCGTTCCTTCTAACATGCCCCAAGTATCTTAGACAAGGTTTCATTACCCTTGATTCTAACAAGTATTCTATTATGGCTGTACTTCTTCTAAACACACTTACTTGTTCTTCTGACAGACCGTGGTATACTCAATTATTCTTCACTAACACCATAATTTGAAGGTATTAATTCTTCTTTGATTTTCCTTCTTTATTGTCCAACTTTTACTTGTATGTATATGAGGCAACGGAAAATACCATGGTTTGTGTCAGGTTCGCCTTAGTCCCCAATATGACAACCTTTACTTTTACAACTTATAATACATTATTTGATTTCTTGAACGCTGCTTCTATGGTCATTGACTGTGGATCCATGTAACAGGAAATGCTTGGCAACCTCAATCTTATAACTGTTTATTGTGATGATATTTACTGGTCCAACTATAAAATTTTTAAAATTTTCTTTATGCTAAAGTATAATTGATACAGAACACTCTAGTCTTTTATCTTCATCAGTTAAGTGCTTCAAGTCCTCTTTGCTATTAGCAAGCAAGTTTACATTATTTGCATATCGTATATATTTAAGTTGTTGCTGTGAGGTTCCATCAAGTATGTGCTAACTTAGTGACCTTATGCAAAAAACGACGACACTGTCCTGTCCTGTGTCAGCCTTACAATCACTGAGGCTGCCACTGTACCAAGCTATCTCACTGGGTGTTGTCCTCTTTTCACGAACCTCAACTTTACCAAGCATGATGTCCTTCTCCAGGGACAGGTTCCTGCTGTTAACATATCCAAAGTCAGAGACATAAAGTATGGCCATCCTGACTTCTGTGGAGTATCCGGACTGTATTTCTTCCAGGAAAGATTTGTTTGTTCTTTTGGCTGACCATGTTACTTTTAATATTCTTCCCCAACACAATAACTCAAATACATCAACTCTTCTGTGGTCTTCCTTATTCACTATCCAATTTTCACATGCATATGAGGTTAATGAAATTACCATGGTTTGGATCAGGCACACCTTAGTCCGCAAAATGACATCTTTATTCTTCAAAACGTTAAAGAGGTTTTGTGCAACAGATTTGACTAATGCAATATGTCATTTGATGTCTGGACTGCTGCTTCCAAGAGTGTTGATATCTGATCTGAGAAAAATGAAGTCTTTGACAACTTTCCATCTTTTCTCCTTTTGTATGGATGTTGTTTACTGATCCAGCAGTGAGGATTTTTGTTTTCTTTGCATTGAAGTGTAACCCATACCAAAGGTTGCTGTTTTTGATCTTCATCACTAAGTATTTTAAGTCCTCTTCCTTTTCAGTTGGCAAGGTTGTATCATATGCATATCACAGATTGTTAATGAGTTTTCCTCCAATCCTGATGTCACGTTTTTCTTCATATAATCCAGCTTCTGGAATTATTTCTTCAGCATGGGAGTGATGGTGCTTATGTGCCACGGAGTCAGTTACGACTCTTAGCGGACCCTGTATAGGGTTTACAAGGCTGTAAATCTTTATGGAGTCAAAAAGTTTCATATTTCTCCCATGGAACAGCTGACCGTGGGGTTAGCAGCACAACTCCTAACCACTATACCACCAGAGCTCCTTATTTCTTCAGCATACAGACTGCATAAGTATGGTGAGAGTGCTAGTCCATTCAAACCTGCCTAATTGTTTACCTATCCCCCTTGTTCTTCCATGCCCCTTCCTCTTCTTGTGTATTGACCCTCTCCCTAGCACCCAAACTATCCTGTGTCTATT